ATGAAAAATACAGGACAAGGAGTTTTTGTTTTTCCTTTTTTGTTTATCAAGTTTACTGAGTTTGTTTTCTTTGTAAAATGTCATTTATTTTGTTAAGTTTCTTTTTTCTTGTGATTCATCAAATGTCCTGATGTATTTTTAGGCTTTATTGCTCTTTTTTCCTTTTTATTTAGTTGTGTTCTGCATAAATTAGTTTAAGAGCAAATATTTTAATGTTGTAGGAAATGTATCCTGGTGATTTGTTGACTTTTTGTTGTTTGAGGGAAACATCTTGATGAATCCACATCATCATTATTATCATATGATCCCTTCAGGATGGCTGTGCTCTGACATGACAGAGGCCCTCGTGAAGCAGCCATGAAGGCCCAGCTGAATGAGTGGATCAGATGAGTCAGTGTTGTAGCTCGTCTTCATCTTCCTACGAGTTAAACATGAACTGATGACAGACGAGAAGCTGCTCGTCATCTGACAGAAAGAAATTATTTAATGTGCTGCACGACCAGCGCTGCCACGTTTTCCCCAAACTAAACCCTGGTTTAAACAGATCAGAGATTTACAGATAAATTTAAAAACATTTAGAGTAACTGGAACAGAGAACTCTGTCGTCCTGTAAACAATCAGCGTGAAAACTAATGTGCTAACTGAACCTGATGTCTGTCACCTTCCTCCTCTTTATGACTCATTCATCACCTGATCCCAAAACAGCTTACAGACAAAGAACAAAACAAAACAAGCATAGCTAAATTTAGAAAAGAATTGGTCATTGCATCCAGTGATGCACTTCCTTTAATGTAAACCTTGGTTGTCATTTAAAGTATAAAGAAAAAGCACATCTTTATGAATTAGTTGTTTGTTCCTTAGAATTTTTATTTGACACTTGGATAATGGAAATAGGGTTCAGTGTGTCCTCATAAGCCGTTTTTTTTAGAAAACATAAATATAATCAGCATTGACCCCGAAAAGTATTTTCTTGTAAATCTTTCGACTTTTGAATAAAGGCTCAAAGTCTTTGCTACATTTCAGAAATCTTCCTAATACTTCTAGAAATGCTTCTTGTGCAACTTAGGACATCAGTTTTCAAACATTAAACCTTTAAAAAGAAAAAAATTGTATAGGTCTTCTGGACGGGTTCTTCTCTAATGAAACGTTTCGTCTCTCCTCCAAGAGACTTCTTCAGTCTGAGAGTTTCAGGCAAAATTCAGGCTTTTAAGCACTGCCTCCATGTGACTGATACTCACATCACATGGCTATCATTGACACCTAATTAACACCTATTGTTAACAGGGGGTGGAGTGACACTGGCAATAGCAGCACTGTAGGAGGGGGACAACTGAAAACGGAGGCCTCCACCTCTGTTTAATGATGGACGGTCTTTCTTCACAAAAATGGCTTCTTTTACTCCTCTCTCAAACCAACGTTCCTCTCTATCAAGAATGAGAACATCCTCATCTCTGAAAGAGTGACCGCTGGCCTGTAAATGAGTGAAAACTGCAGAGTTCTGGCCATTAGATGTAGCTCGTCTGTGTTGGGACATTCTTTTTCATTAGAGAAGAACCCGTCCAGAAGACCTATACAATTTTTTTCTTTTTGATTTTTACCTGGATTACTGAGATGCATCAGGACATTAAACCTTTAGCAATAATGTCTGACATCTGTAACAATATTAAACTGATTATGATCCATTAAGGATTAAAAACATGAAAGTTACAGCGGATAGCCGAGCACTGAAGACTTGTACTTTCTGTGAGCAAGTCTTTCCATATTTGAATCCACTCAAACAATAAACACTTGTTACCAACCACAAAAACTAAAGATTAATAAGAGTTCTTATAAGGCCTGGACGATAAAGGATCTGAGCAAAACAAATAATTAAAGCTGTTCTAAATCAAGTCTGATGACAAGCTGTGAAATGAGAAGACATCATGGAAGAAAAGGGTTTTTTATTCCACAATAAAAACTTGTAACATCTTCACTTTTCTCGTGTCCTTTCCACGTTTCCTCTGCAGGGTTGCACTCTGTGGATCTGCGTGTCTGCAGCGTGGCGTTTTGTTTTCCTTCAGCCCGCTGCGCCGCGCATCCACAGCTGCAACCCATCGTAACTTTCTGTACATCACACCACCGCTAAAACACAACTTCAAGGAGATCAAGCCATAAAAGTCAGTTCAGACAAAAAATTATTGCTCAGATAAATAAACCTATTTTACAAAATAAAAAGGAAAAAAAACAATAAAGGGGGAATAATTATAATAAGATTCATATTCTAAACACTGGATTCCAAAGAAAAAAAATGTCAGTTACTTTTGAGGGGACTAAAAATGGGTGATAACCTCGACTTCTGTCTTCATATTCTGGTTAAACATGCAAAAATGTCTTTAAAGTAGATAAATTTCAGGCTTAATTAACTCCCTGCGTGTGGGGGGGTCTTGGTGTAAGACTCCTTTGTGCTGATGAAACGTAGTCCCATGCAGCACGTTCATGGCCTGGTTTTTTTGTTTTTTTCTTTTTTCATTCAGACAACCACAAACAATTCATAACAAGAAAGAAATATATATAATATATATGTAAAAATACAAAATAAAACCCAAACAAATTAAACATCATAGTTCTGGACAACAAGTCAAAGAGGAGATAGCACCATTGTTACAAAAGGGTTTGGACAGATCAGGACCGGGTGGGGTGGGGTGGGGGATCAGTGACACATCTGGATTTGAGGCTGCAGTAACAGACCGATGACACCCGGGAACCGTAGATCGCTCTTCATTTTCTGGCGTGGCCGTCATTCAACGTGCACCTGACGCAAATGTAGTCCTCCTTCTCCGCCATCTCYGGTGTGACGCCGACGCACACCTGGTGGAACCACTGGTTGCAGCTGCCGTCGCACTGGACCCAATCCACCTGCGGGAGCACAGAAAGCATTAATATCCAACCTGAAAGCTGCTCAACGCTCTGCGTCACCCAACATGCCCTCACCTCGTCTCCCTCTGGCAGCTGGCAGCTCTCGGCCGGACACACGGCCATCTCCTCGTCGGAGTCGTCGGACTGGGAGAAGTCGGAGCGTGGGGAGGACGAGGTGGAAGCCGGCCGGCGCTGCAGCGTCTTTTTATTTATCTTTTGTCTCTTATTCGAGTGCTTTTTGTCCTTCCCCCGGCGCCCTGCGTCCAAACCTTCCCTCTCCAGACGCCTCTTCGCTTTGCGTTCTGAGGCAGTCAAGGTGTCCCTCGTTTTGATGGTGCCATCCTGAAAACAAAGTCGTTCCCAATAAAACTCACGTTGAGACAGTTTTAAATGTTTTTAATTTGTGTACATAAACTTAACACAGAAAGTAAGATGATAGATTATTTTGTTGTATCAACGCTTCTTGACAGTAAATATTCAACCGTTGGAAAACACCTTATTTCCCTTTTAAATGGTGCCACATTTGTGTACATGTCAACCTGTATATTGAGCCTCAAAGCTCCGTAATTAGCACAAAATTGTTGGTATTAATCACGCGTGCACGCAGGGGTGGAGGGGGATGCAGGCGGACTGCTGGGCGTGGAGATGACAGCACCTGCAGCGCAAAGCAGGAGGAACGGAGGACGGCAGAACTTATTTCTAGCGGCAGAGCAGGTTGGAAAATGATTACCTGATGTTATTTATTGATTTTTTAAACGTCCTCCAGGCTCTAACATGTTAAMTTTGAAACTGAGTTTAAAAAAAAATCTGTAAAACATGGAAAAATCCGTTAGATTGCTTTATACGTCTGTATACMTGCAAAATGGGTGAAAATCTGTGTGAATTATGAACAATCCACACAACTTGACATGTATGCATTTGTAAGGATGCATGTGTGGGATGAGCAGTAGAGCTGAGTGTGTGGGCTGCAAACATGAAAGATTTCCAAATTTTCTCCACCAAACAACTAGGGCTGGGCGATATGGCCCAAAAACAACAACAACAAAAAAAAAAAAAAAAAAAAAAAAAAAAACCCAGATTTTTTTCATCCCAAATTCGATTTTAGATTTTTATCGATTTTGCTTTCCACTTAATTGAGTGCCTCTGTTTCAGGCGTTGGAACAAATATGTTGTACTCCTGCTTTTTGTAGCAAGAGCCTTCAAACAGATTTTGCAGTCAGGTGTTTGTTGCTCCAAGTCCAAGGTTACCTAACCAGTTCCAGAAAACTGAAGACACAGTGCCTCTCTGCTAGCTGCCATATTGTCATGTTGTGCACCAAGCATCCTGAGGGACAGGTGGGGTGACCTCTGAACTACAGAAGCTCCAAAGAGTGCCCTGGTGGCAGAAAAGTCTTGATTTTCCCAAAATTAAATCTTTATAAATGGTAAATTCGAATTAATCAATCAAATCGATTTATCGCCCAACCCTACAAACAGCTTATTTTGCCTTTGAGTAATTTAGTGTTTAGTGGACTGGATGATGTTTGAAAAACAAGCCATATTGGCAATTAAACAATTTCTTAATTTAACAATTAGGAGCCTCATTAGCGTGTGGAAGAACCATACACAGCCACAACAGTTTGGCCCCTCCTCCTGCTGTGGGCTGGAATCCCATTCATCAACCAGCATTTGTCACAAGTCAGTCAACATGGTTGTGTGGGTCACTTTGGAACTAAGCTGATCCCACAAGTGTTCAATGGGGTTGAGGTCAGGACATTCCATCCTCTCCACTCCCAAATTCTGGAGGTCTCTGATAAACCACGCTCTGTGGGGRCAAGTGTTGTCAGCTTGGAGAGTAGAGTTCAGTCCCAGACTTCAGATATATGGATTTGCTACTGGTTGCAGAATTTCATCTTGATTTCTCTCTGCATTGAGATTTCCAATCAGGCACCTGAGGGTACCAGAAGCTCAAACCAAGTGTCAATAGCAAGAACAAAATAAGATGTTTGGCAGAGAAGATTTAGCTAGTTTTTCATATGTGCAACCCACACACTCAGCTCTACTGTTCATCCCACACATGCATGTTCCTTACACATGTGGCACCCTTTAAAAGCTAAATTAACAGGCTTTCCAACTGTCTAAGATTTATTGCCATGAAGCACTGTTACAACAAAGAAATAATCTACCAAACACAATTTCCTTCCTTTTTGTGCTAAGTCATATAACGCCCACTACAAAAGGTTTGTGTCTGTCTTTGTTTGTCTCTCGTGTTAGCAAAATATGTCATAAACAACTGGACAGATTTCAGTGAAACTTTCAGAAAGTAATCTCTCAAAATAGCTGCTGCAGCTAAGTGATCTTAGCTAACACTAAACTGGACATAGCTCATTCAGATTTACTAATACAGAGCTAAAGTTTAATATAGCTGAGAGTCATCCTCAACGTGTCCTCCGAGCACTAAGACATTCGTGAGATCTTGCAATACTGCATCAAATTTCAATTAGGGCAATTTCTTTCTTTCTTTCGTTTCTTTATTGTTTATTTGCATGGGGACAAGTGTCATGTATAACAAATACTGAACACTTTAATGTTTATAGCGTTAATTAGTATGTAATGCACATCCCCAGATGGACTTTTAACAATATAGAATAATTTAAAACAACAAAACAACATGGAAGATACAATATCATACAATACATTTATAAGGTTTAAGTCAGTCTCTTCTAAGATATATAAGAAGATCTTGCTCTAAAACTCTAGCATGAAAGGTGGCAGGCAGTTTGTATTTGTATGTGTTGTTTCTTACCTGGTCCAGTGGTGTGTTTGTTCCCTGAGAGATAAACTGCACGTGTGTGTCGCGCTCTGTCGCCTCCTCCCGCGGTGGCGACATGGACGTGTTTGTGTTCTGGCTGCTGGCCCTGTCCAGCAAAATGTGGTGGAGGTTTTGGACCTGCGGCAGACACACCTGCAGCAGGAGGCCCTCCACCATCAGCTCCTCCAGCTCACAGCTCAAACCTGTTGAACACACAGACGGTAACAACCGGGCCTTGTGCTGAAAGGAAGCAGACACGCCAAACTTCTGTTTTCCTCATTTAGTGACACATGTAGGTTTTTCTTTTTTCTAATAAAAAAAATAAAATAAAATAAAATACATTTTGGACTCAAATACATAAGCTCATGTTTTATTAGCTTATGTATTTGAGTCCAAAAGTTTTATTTTATTTTTATTTTTGTAACTACTTGTGCACTTGTAAATTTTGTTTTATAACAGGTCTCTCCTGGAAATGAGATTTTGGATCTCAATGAGACTACCCGTATAAATAAAGGTCAAATGAAAAAAAAWAATAATAAAAGACTGACCCTGTAGTGGGATGCATCTCTGCTCGGTGTAGAAGACGGTCTGAGCGTGGCTCGTCCTATTCCACTCTGGAGTCAAACAAGGAGCCTGTGTGGAAACCATCAAACACCAAACTTTACATCTACAGTGCGGTATCAGCTAAAAAAAAAGGTAGCATTAAAGGAGGAATAGTGACCTGAGAGTTGTTGTGAGTGTTGTCGCAGCTGGACACCCAGTGTGTTAGCGTTGGAGGGGTCCCCGGTCGCTCCTCCAGCTCTATAAAGTTACACGTCTGTGAGACCTGCTGCGCTCGGTGCTGCCAGTTAAGTGTCCTCTCTACGAGATAGTTCAGGGCGTCGCCCTCTGGCAGGCGCACATTGATACTTTGGAGAGATGCTAGCAGAGAGAGGACTTTGCTGAGCGGGGGCTTTTCTGAGCGCTGGCAGTGTGGACAGAGCCACGGCTGGGTTTCACACGAGTCTGACGGGTCTCTGACGCACACGCTGTGGAAAGCGTCCCGGCAGAGTTCACACTGCAGCATCGCACCCATGGGTGCTTTCTGGCAGAAACACACCTTCAGGTCCATGCAGTCTGCGGTGGGAAGGAGCTTTGACTCATTTGCTGCCCTGAGACCAGAAAACATCTCCATCTCCCTCACATGCAGCTCTTCCAGAGCCGCCATCTGGTGAATGAAACATCCAGTCAGTACAGTCACAGTTAGAAACATTATTGCTTAGAGTTCACAAAGAAAGACCTGATGATTTTTATATTTTCATTATGGTTTATGGACCTTTTCTCTTCTTCGACTTCCTGTCAGTTTCAATTTCCAAATCAACTTATTTATTTGTCTTACTTCAAACCAGTTCCTGTTCTTCCACACTTCAATTTATGACATTAAAAACACACTGGGTGTGTCAGTAAAACAGGAGAATCTCAATCTATGCAAACCAGTTTAAACCAAAAGCCAAACTAACTCAGTGACTTTCTAGTATGGGATAAATCTTGTGCCAGCAGGAATTGAATCTGAATGTGCATAATTTGAAATTGAATGGACTGGTTTGAAAATGAATTTTACTAAATTGAAACTGCATTTAATGGTTTGAAACTGAATTTAAAATTTTGTATCTGAATTAATTTGCTTTGAAATTGTATTTTGGTCTATTAAAAATTCAGTTTGACTACATTCACTTACATTACAGAAGTGAAACATAAATATGTGGATCTGTGTTTRATTACTCTGGCTGGCTTTCTCAAGGACCAGGATGTGACACAAAAATCTGAACTTTGGAACTGAAAGTGAAAGTAGACAAACTGAATTTTTAATAAAATTCAGTTTCAAATCATTAAATTCAGTTTTGATTTAGTGAAATTTATTTACAAACCAATGCATTCAATTTCAAATGATACACATTCAGATTCAATCTGAGCAATTCAAATTCAATTCCTGCTGGCACAAGATTTATTCCATATTCAAGCAGCTACTTTTAGTCTTATAAGATCCTCCATAGAGGGAAAACGTTCAGTCTGAGTTCATTAAGTAATAATACATACTGCAGAGGTAGAGTCCTTGGTCTCTGAAAGAGTTTTCTCCACGTCACTCAAAGTGTTAATCCGTATGGGTTTCTTTTTGTTGTTTTTAGGTGATTCTTTCCCTTTCTTGGCCTTCCTCTTTGGAGAACCAACGTTTCTAGCTTCAAATCTTGGACACAGGACCTGAAATGGACAAAAACATTTATGAAAAGTTTGAATTAATTTCCACAGCTGGCATTGGGATTTATTGTGAACACATGGTTGTTTTATTTATTCATTTATTTTTTGAATGAAAAATAATATTTTAGATCTGTAGGTTGGATTACACAAGATGAATTTTGAAAGTCAATGCACAACCTTTTAAACTAAAATTATTATTATTATTAACTGAAAAAACTGAATTTCTTGTTAAGTTGTTTTTACATTTGTCTTGATTTACAAGGAACCTATTAGTTTAAATGCAACCAATTTTTATTGCTCTAATTCACACTTTTCTTTGTGCCAGTGTTTCTAAATGAGTGTTAAAATATTAATTTAAAATAATCTGGAACCAAACTATCGTTTCCCAGTATGCTAATGCTAATCTCATTGATAAGAAACACTACTACGCTACATTACTTATCTGTTTTGCTGTTTTGTTAAATTCTGATAATAGGCAGACTTTTTAAATAATTGATAGTTCTTTTACTTACAAAAAGAAAACATGATACTGAACTGTTTATGGTTTACATAAGTTGCACCGATGTTGTAAAATGCTATATTGTGCCAACATGTCTGCAGTATGTTACAAAATGAGAGCAGTTCAGTAGCTTTTCAATTGTGATCTTTACACTCCGAACCCTCGATTGAGAACACTGAGTTCACGCAGCCAACTCTTAAAGCAAACGCTGCTAAATAACTCACTGTAGAGGAAACTGTAACGAGAAGAGACAAGTTTCCATGGGACTACGATAATGCAAACAGAATTTCAGAATGAATTTATCGTTCTGGGTGGTTAACTGATTGCAGTGGTGAAGAAAATAGATTTTTATTTTTGCAGAAAGTGGAACCACAGTACATCCTACCCTTCTAACCAGAACTGTACCAACACATTCACCATCAAATGGCACATTTTTACTCCTTATTAATAGAAGAAGTACGTTGATGTACCCTGTCACTGAGAGATTTGAAGAAGGAATGTTTGTAGTTTTTGAGATGAGTGTTTGTCTGGACTGGAATTGAACAGAGAATGTGCATTTTAGTATACTTCCCATGGGCTCACCACCTGTGGGAGGGGCCAAAGGGGTCAGGTGCATTGTGTGTTGGGCAGTGGTCGAAGGCGAGGACCTATGTGGTCTGATCCTCGGCTACAGAAGCTGGCTCTAGGGATGTGAAATGACACGTCTCTGGTGGGGAAGGAGCCTGAGCTGGTGTGTGAGGTTGAGAGGTTCCSACTAGATATAGTTGGACTCACCTCGACGCACCGCTCTGGCTCTGGAACCAGTCTCCTCSAGAGGGGCTGGACACTTCCACTCTGGAGTTGCCCATGCTGAGAGGCACTGAGCAGGAGTGGGCAYACTTATTGCCCCCCATCTTGGTGCCTGTACGTTGGGGTTCACCCCGGTGAACGAGACGGTAGCCTCCCTCCGCCTACGTGTCGGGGGACGGGTCCTTACTGTTGTTTGTTCCTATGCACCTAACAGCAGTTCAGATTACACACCCTTTCGGGAATCCTTGGAAGGTAGGGCTGCCACAATTAGTCGATTAATCGACGACTAATCAATTATTAAAACAATCGATGACTAATTTAATAATAGATTAATCGTTTTCTTTTTTTTGTTCTTTACTTTGTCTTTCTCTCCAAACTGTTTTGATACCTTCCACTGCCACATCTGCCTTTCTGTCCTTGACACACATGCACAGTAGTGGCAATCTGGGGTAGGCCGTGGACGTCACAAGACATTATACAGACAGACTCTGGTATCATGGCTACCTGGCAACGGAGATTAAAAGTGTGGGATCRTTTTAAGAARATGAAAGAGAAACCTGTACAATATCTGCAAGGCAGAACTTGCCCTCCACAGCAATTATTTTTAGTTAGCATATAGCTAAAATCTAACCATGGTTATATAATAGCAASTGCATTCTGACATGATAAGCTGTATGTTTTATATTCAGTTAATGTATGATCCGATTAGTCGACTAATCGAAAAAAATAATCGGTGATTAATCGATTATAAAAATAATCGTTTGTGGCAGACTTACTGGAAGGGGTGCTGGAGAGCACTCCTAACGGGGACTCCCTCGTTCTGCTGGGGGACTTCAATGCTCACGTGGGTAATGACAGTGAGACCTGGAGAGGCGTGTTTTGGAGGAACCCCTCAATCTGATCCCGAGYGGTGTTTTGTTATTGGACTTCTGTGCTCGTCATGGATTGTCCATAACGAACACYATGTTCAAGCATAAGGGTGTCCATATGTGCTCTTGGCACCAGGATACCCTAGGCCGCAGTTCAATGATCGATTTTGTTGTTGTTTCATCTGATCTGCGGCCG